TTGATGTATACTGCATTTTAGGGTGGCAGCAGTTGACGAAATCCATGATGTCTTCAGAATCTCTTAAAATTATTGGATACAATGAAAGTATCATCCAAGTATCTTTTTTAAAACCCAAATCTGTGTTTTCGATTTTAGACAAGAACAATTCTGATTGAAACGTGACTACCGGTGGGAATGGAATCGAAAAAAAATTATAGTTCATCTCGAATGGAGTTCCTTCGATGAGTCCGCAAGTACTCCACTATTTATCCCTATTGAATCAGTATGTTCTTTACATGTAGATTGATGTTTCATCTGGTGAGACGTTTGCAAACAATGAAACTTCATCTTGTGAGAGCACGATTCGATTATAGTCGTTGGGATTTTCAGTGGAATTGACATAGTCAGAGGAATATAAGAATCAGTGGCAAGAAACTAGTCCTCTGACTAGTCTCAGTAGGTCTAATAACCGTTGGAAAGTTTGATGATAAGGTGAATTCTTCATGTCGGGAATAGATCGAAGAAGTGTGCTTTTTCTGTGTATTTATGCATGATCAATAGAGTCAGGATATGTATGATCTAGACAGCCTCAGAGGTTCCAGCATTTCGGCATCAACAAGAAATTCGGTCTTTAGTTTCGGCAGGAGCTATTCACCAGTTGTGTGAATTTAGATTCGTCAGAGAGGGTGGTCAGTATTTTACTAATATAGTCGTCGCGATTCATGGTTACGATTCCCCTAATTTGATCAAGGGGTATCAGCACCATCTCTACATTCTTCATCAACCCATTCAGCTCTTTATAATGTTTCTTGGTTAATGTGGACTCGCCATTTGTTTTAGTATTTAGAAACTTACAACAAATGTCGATGACTGATGGTTTGACTTGTCGCAGGTTCTCCTTATATATTGGTACCAAATCATAAGTTCGAATTATTAGATTTTTAGAAATGAACCTGGAATTGAAACTTCGGGATGTTTTATGATTTTGCACACAATCTTGGACATGGAGATAGTTCCTCTGCTTGAAGTGTTGACTAGATATTTGTTTGGATTGCTTGTATATGCACGTCCATCATCCCTAGTCGACTTCAGGTTCATAAGTAAGGCTGACTTAATTTTGATACATTGTCTCTCCCACAAAACTCTCTCTTGGAAACCCGGTCGAATTTGGACACCAAGCTTACTAACCCATAGGCCAACTTCGAAGTCATCTACAGAATATGTGAGAATCTCATCAAGAAAGTACGAATCAAACTTCTTCATACCGCAGAAGAAATGGTAGTTCACACGCTGGATCCCGAAATCTGACCACAGAAGTTTACCAAATTACTGAAACTACAATGGACCTGATCTATCCTAATATCAGAGACATATGTTTTGTTTTCGTTTTAAACTGTATTATTTTCTCCCCTGATTGCCTAATTAATTTCTCCTCTTAATTACCACAGTCTTTAACTTGACCAGCGTCCAGTTTTAGTTCGTTTCTACTCAATACTGACTACGATATTGCGTAACTCAATTTATGGAATTTCAATGTCTACCCTATTGACGCTTTCTAAATCACGTTGCTTGTTGTCTAAAAATAGGAATTCATATGACAAATCTTTTGGAATATTTCTCTGGTTGTTAAGGAAATTTGCTGGATAGATGCGATTGTGATAGTGATATTGCTGGAAAGCAGCAGGACCAGATGGAATCTCAGAATAAGCACTGAAAATGGACCCAGAGACAACAGCGGACTTGATGACGCCATTACTGGAGAAGGTGTGGAAGGAGGGCAAAGTACCCAAGGATCGGAAGAAAGGATACTTATTCAAACTACCGAGGAAAGGAGACTTAAGTCAATGCAAAACTGGCTCGGAATTATGCTCCTATCCATCCCAAGCAAAATATTAATCTGCATCTTCCTGGAGAGAATCAAACAAGCCAACCTGGATGAAAACCTTCGACCGGAACAAGCTGGATTCAATAGAAGCAAGTTATGTATTGATCAAATCACCACTGTACGGATCATCATTGAACAAAGCTTGGAATGGCAGTCACCTCTTTGTCTCAACTTAATTGACTTTGAAAAGGCCTTCGACAGCGTCGATCGAGAGGTGATTTGGCAACTACTTCGCTACTACTGTTGGGTCCCATCGACAATTATGCATCTCATCCTACAGTTATACGACAATGCTGCATGCCAAGTAATCCACAACGGTAAACTTACGGAAGCCTTCGAAGTGAGGACAGGAGTGAGGCAAGGCTGTCAACTATGGCCAATGATTTTCCTGATTACAGTAGATTGGATATTGCGACAGACAACGGGAAATGAAGAAACAGGAATAAAATCAACTCACACAAAAAACAACTTGGAGGATCTGGACTTCTCCAACGATTATATATGTCTGATTTCCCACAAACTGGAAGATATGAAAGTAAAAAGAAACAAGCTGGCTGAAGAAACATCAAAGATAGGACTTCAAGTGAACATAGATAAAACAGAGGTGATGAAGATTCCTGGCAAACAACAACAACCACATCAACCACAGCAGACAACAATCAGCATAAACGGGAGGAGCCTGAAAGAAACAATCTCCTTTACCTGCTGACCTACCTGGGAAGCATCGTTTCAACTACAGGCGAATGGAACTGACGAGGATATCAAAGCAAGAATCGGAAAAGCAAGACAGGCTTTCATTGCTCTCACCAAGACTGTGTGGAGGTCGACAGCCCTCAGCATCAAAAATAAGATCCGAATTTTCAACTCCAATGTGAAGTTAGTCAGTGCTGGTTACTATACGGATCAGAGACTTGGCGCGGCATAAAGAGCATCTCAAACAAGCTACACACCTTCATTAACAGTTGTCTTCGCTCAATCCCACTCAAGATCAGATGGCCAGCCAGAAAAGATCAGAAACAGGAATCTCTGGGAGCGAACCAACCCAGCAGGAACCGATTGTGAAACAAATAAGCAGGAAGAAATGGAGATGGATTGGCTGGCCATACTCTGAGGAAACCATCAAGTGACATTACTAGACAAGCCCTCAAGTGGAACCCGAATGGGAAGCGACGAGTTGGTCGTCAGTGCAAGGGTGACTTGAAGGAGGTCATGTGAAGAGGAGATGAAAGCGTGTGGGCAGACTTGGAGCGGGGCGAAAACACTGGCAGAGAACCGAAGGCAATGGAGACGCGCAGCTGGCGCCCTATGTTCCTCTAGGAATTAAAGGAAATAATAATAACATCTCTGAGAAGAATAAATTTGGCAACAATGACGAATTTGTTCAATACATTAATTCATTACTTGTAAAATTAGAGATTGAATGATAACAGATCGTCTGAACTTTCTCAAGCTAAACTTGAGTCAACGTATCTATCTGAAAGTTAACATGATATTAAATACTGCGACAGTGGCACAGTGGTTAGGACTGTCGCCGACCATGCGCATGGTCCGGGATTCGATCCCTCGCAGATGCACACCTGATATCTATAGTCGGCCTGAAAAATTTGGGCTACCGATATCCATGCTGAAAATTCCATACTTGTAACTAAAATATAGTGTGGAATCAAGCTGTAATCAAAAATGAAATAAAATAAATAAGACCAGGATGTGTATAATCTACAAACTTAAACCTTCGACGTAGCTTAAAATTCACTGGTGTTACGAGAATCATGCCGATAAATCAATTCATGTTTTTGCACGATTATGTCTGAAAGTGAAATTAACAACCTGATATTTGGAGGGATTTAACTTAAATAATTTATTTGGGATCACTGACTAGTTTTTGATAAAAAGTCATTCGTTTTGGAGCAATCTTGTTAACATTTCGTTGGGACAGAAATAATCACATCTTCGGAATACCTAATAAAATTGGATTCACCAGAATGAGGCAAGTACTTTTAGGGACATCGGCTAGACAAGTAAAGCACTGGAAGATCCCCCGCTATTTGCAGTGTACTGCTTCCTGTCAGAAAAGTAAAACATGCACCCATCTAATAATCCATCACCCTACTTGTGTCTAAGTGGGCTAATTTAACAAAAGAAGCCTATGCAGAGTGTCAAGGAGCATATTTAAATCTTCTGTCTAGCCTGGAGATAATATTATGATGCTAGGCAATACTGCCACATAAGGTACATCTATCATGTTTATAAGCAAGTCGTTTTGGGTCGTTAAATTTATCAAATAATTTTATCCTAAATGTCAAATGAGAAACTTGTCTGTCTTCATTGTTTTCTATAACATATTAGGCAACTTTGATATTGATAATGCTTATTGTCTACAATGCAAATGGATTTAAACATAGTTTGGGCTCTTCTTTTCATACGGAATAGTGAATGGTCTACTATTTCTACATTAAACCGTACTCTAGCTTCATCATATGTGCTTCACCGTAAATGGGATGGTGTAAGCCACCGTCCCACCATGGAGATGCACATTTATCTACTAATACATGAAGCATAACTCCTAAACGGTGTTCAACAGTCTGTAGGGTCTTTAAAAGGACAAGGTATTCCGAATATCTGCATTAACACGCATTTGTTGAGAACTCGTAGTAGTACAGTCAATGTGGCCAATGAAGTATGCTACTACGAAGCCAAACTACCTCAGTTCATAAACAACTGGAGACTACATAACTCTCCACAGTTTGGTTGATATCTACAGCATGTTAGCGAATAGATGTCTTCCTGTCATTGTTTTCTAATTAAAAAATAGGTATGAAGCAGTGATCGTCTCTACAGCCACAGTATCTACATTGTTAATCGCTAACCTCATAAAATGGGAGTGCTATAGACTTATTAGAGTGACATTATACCCAGAGGGGAATATGTATGAGATTGTTTCACCTTCCCCCCATAGACATCCATTGGTTAACTAACTTCACATTCACGAATAACAAAACACATTTCACAAATCAAACAGCACGATCGCATTCAGACACACGTAGACTGAAATAGAAAACACATGCGACAGCATGGATATAAATACGCGTTAAAACAACATGAAGAACATGAAATTTAAAGGGAAACAAACATCATGTTAATTGCTCAGTTAATTAACCTCATATTTCTCATAGTTTCAGAGAACGGTGTCAATGCCTTAGTACCGAGACCACGGAAGCACACTGAAGGAAATGCGCTTTGTAGCATAGCTGAATCACTCACCATTGAACATAATTATCCAAAATGTTTTATTCTGATTGACGCCCTGAAAGTGTTCAATGAACGTCTCCTTATGAGGCAGCAACAACGGTTGTATAATGAAAGCGAAACTCTTCATATCAAAAAAATGACGATTGTGATTAAAGACGGTTGTGATGAGTCGGAGAATAAATTGTGGCCGAGTGAATACATGGATGAATCACGTGAGTAACTTTGAACTTTTTTCCATTTTTCATGCATAATGAACCATCTAACCACTACAGATAAAATCAGCATACTCGATGGGAAGATTGACATTGAATGTAACGAAGTGTGGGGAGCATTACACGCATTGCAGAGTATCATACAACTGGTGCATAGAGGTAAATTGGGGTCTGTAAGTGAAATGTGATTGCACTGATAACCTTATGATCATTAACACCTTATTTATTTTTTCAACTAGCTTGTGATGTACGAACGCATTATCGAGGATGCACCACTATACATTCACAGAGGGTTTCTCGTTGACACCGCCAATCATTATATCAGCGTTGATGAGATTTTGAAGTTTATTGTAAGTCTCTCCTCCTTTTTGTTCTTCTTCATGTCCTGCTTCTAATTCACACACGTTCAGGATGCTATGGCGGTTGTGAAGATGAACATGTTCCATTGGCATATGACGGATGACAGTTCATTCCCCTATGTGTCATCCACATATCCGCAACTGTCCCTAAAGGTAGTCTGTCTTTCTTATTTATTCCAATCACTTCTCTCTGTCTGTCTCCACATAGGGTGCCTATCATCCACGGAGGTTGGTTTACGAGAATGCTGATGTTATTCGCGTGATAGAGTATGCCCGTCTACATGGGATACGTGTGATGGTGGAATTTGATACGCCGAGTGAGTGGCATCATTTTTAGACTGGTGGTCAAATCTCACCACTGTATTTTCGATGTTCATAATTTCCAGTGGAATGATTACTCACTCTTTACCATTGAAGTGTAAATGACACTTTCGCCTTTCTCATGATTGCAGGTCACACAAAGTCTTGGGAGAAGAGTCATCCAGAAATACGAACAGACTGTAACAATAAAGGTAATTTAGGCCCATTCAATCCTGCAAATGAGACGACATTCGAATTCCTGAAGGCGTTTTTCAAAGAAGTCACTTCAGTATTTCCAGAACCATTCATCCATCTGGGTGGTAGGGAGGTGTCATTCGATTGCTGGTAAGATTTCCCTTTATCTATTCTGAATTGACTATTGACGATGAGATAGGACCAGTGGTACACTTGAACAAAGTTTTCAAGATATCCATAGTTTCCTTGACAACTAGAGTAGCCATGGTTTCACAGTTTTTAACGAAGCATTTATTGAAATATGAATTTGTGATCATTTGTTTGTATCTGAGTGAGTCGAGGTTATTGTCATCATCGGTGTTGTATATTTATAAAATATACCACATGTGCAAACATGACTATCACTTATTATTCAGGAATACAAAAACGAAATGATACAAGTGAGGGATAAGTTTTATCATGTTATTGAAATAGATTCTCCACAGAAATGGAAGTAGTGTACATGTTCTGAATTTGAGTGTTACCACCATTCAAGTTTTAAATAAGTGCTCTCGATATTAAATCATTGCTTTTAAAGTAGTCAGCATGCCTGATTGTTACTGGCAGCCTGAAGTTGTTTGCGTAAACTGTTTATTTGGTTATTGATATTACCATTAATGATTACTCAGATTATGCCACTCACGCCTTCTAGGGTGAAGGATGCAGGTTTATCTCTGAATTCAAGTAGTATCTTACAAATCAATGGACTGTTAAATACCTTTAAACGATAGAAAAAACTCAGAGGTATCTCCGATTTAAATCATCCTGATGTTAATAAGTCTCAATCAGACCTCAGAATGTGACATTCCCTAATATATCCTCACCGATTAAAATTTCACATTCACTACAAACCCTATTTTCATGACAACACTCCTATGAACTGTGAAATTCAGTCTTACTTTGTCACAATCAAAACTGTTGAGTATGTTGCCTTTCAGAAGTCTCATAACATGAGTTGAACTAATATGTAACGTAACAGCTTATTTGTCTGAGATCTGTGAAATAAATGGCTGTTTCTTTCCTTTATGCTGTCACGATATATTTCATCAATCACTGCCATTTCTTGAGTTCTAAATAAAAGTGATGGCACATGTCCATCATGATATGTTGTCTCCAATCACACACAACTGACTCTATGACTACCCGAAATGTTTCACTCTCCTCATTTTGGGAACCATGCCGATCGCTACACAATGTCCACTTCATTCTGCCCATTATTTAAGCAGCGGATATCCGCTGAATTTGCTACCAGAGTCTTTCCTGTTTTACCTAACCCTCATTTCAGTTCACTACTAGTGATTGTTCACAAGGAACAGATTTTTTTTGATTCACCAAGTCTCTGAAACATGTTGATACAGTGAGTTCACATTCTTGTTGAAAATTTGAATCTTGCTCCTTTGATAAGTTCTCTAAACCTGTACACTGAAACCAAGTGGTAAGCCCCTTTCTTGCTTTCTCGATCTCGCCTAGTTTTGACAAAGTCGCTGTTGCCGACTGCAATCGAATTGACTCCACCCAGAAATGCAAAAGGTATGACTTCATTAGGATTTCTGTCCTTAGTGGTGACTGGTGTATTACCTGGTTGCGAATCTTCGTTACCAATTTATTCTTCATATAATGTGGTTTTTTGTTCCAACAGCCTTGCCCCACTTCTGTCGTCATTTCTTACGCTTCACTCAGTTCTCCGTTTTAAAAAACTTGATATGCTGCATCGTAATGTGACTGCCGAATAACGCTCACGTAGGTGTGCGGTACTCCTTATCATTGAGGCATTTTCTGCTAGATAACATCCACAAGAACAGCGAAGGCTTCTCATGAAATCAACCGGTTCAAAATCACAACCAAATCGAAAGAGCTCTTCAAATTTGCTGAAATTCATTCAGGATGTCCTTCTAATCCACTGATGTTAGTCACTTGTGGAAAGTGTCTTAAATGATGGTTGAGATGAAACACACTATAAACACTATCATATACGTTCATGTTACTATTCAATGCTGACACTCACAGTATTATGTAATTGTTGATTTAAATATTACTCACACATTCCATAAAATCGAATTAAACCCATTAGTCTCATATTCTCTAAAATTCATCAAACTATTTCCGCGTCAAATAGGAAATCGAATACTGGAATTTCGAATTTCATGAAGGAGAAACAATTCGGTAACGACTACGGGAAACTGGAATCGTATTATTTTGATCGACTAATTGAAGCTATTCAATCAGTTCAACCAGAAGGATACGCGATTACACCAGTTGTTTCGCATGAAGTATTTCAGAATGGTTATCGTGTAAGTGAATCCTTTTACCTTTTTAAAATGAAACACCCCTCGCAAATAAGTAGTATCTGTAGAGTGTCGCCCGCATCGGTCGAGCAAGTATTTATGCGAATAGTTTTATGTGTATATCTGTTCACATTGGCTGCATTAGCTGAACCAGACATGTTAAATTTGGTGGGTCCATGTGATGCAGGTGAACTTAGTATTCGTTCATGTTTCCTAAACTCAGGTTCCCAACATCAGGGTTAGTTTCTCCTCTAGTCATAGGCAGTATTCTCCAGTGTCTTGTTTCCTGGTGACCACTGCCGCATACGTCGTCAAAGTTAATTCAGAAAAGCTTCAAATTTCTTTCTCTACATGGAATAGTGTATAGTTTATGCATTCAAGACTTTGATTAATGCATATTATATTGCAATGTATACTCAGAAGAAAGATAACAACAGTCCCTGTATGGTGACATTCAACAGTCGATTCCAAGAAAAGCGTTATGAAGTAAACTCAAAAGTACAATGTTCATTTTTCTGTGAGTGAGGTCTACGTAACTGTGGTCTGTCGTCTTGAAGTCACCTTCAGGTATGTATGTATATAACATTTGTCATCAGACCATTGGAATAAGATGAGATTGCTCAATTTCCATACTCATAACATATTGATTTATACGTGTAATAATCCCTAAAAGAACCTTTTCCTATTCAGCCGAATAAGACCACTGTAATGAACGTCTGGCAGTACAGAAATTGGCCGAATATTGTCAAATCTATAACGTCAGCTGGTTATCGAGTTATAGTTTCGGCATGTTGGCAAATCTCTCCTTCAAATCAGGCGACTCGATGGTATGATTATCATAAATGTGATATTGGAGCATTCGGAGGTGAGTAACGTGCTTGAGTATAAATATTGCCCTCTAAATTGCACACATATTGATTTCATGTTTTTCATTTGACTGATCAGAGTTTTGATTTGATTTCTGTAAGTTTCACAGTGGATACTATCAAGAGGTGAATGATACGCAATGTGGCGCTGTATATATGAAATTTCCCATGAGTATTGAATATCACACAGATAATACGCCCAGTAGATATGTTAGGTATAGTTAACTAAGAAATATGATTTCATCTACGTGAATCATTAACTAGTGGCTTCGGATTTGACTGTGTGACACTTCTTCGCTTTCATTAACGTTCACTATGGGATCGGATATAAATTGAGTTCCCAGATGAGACAGATAACGCCGATACTTTTTAATTTTCCACACACCAGCGTTAGCTGGTGTATTCTTTGTAGGAAATTGTTGGTTGGATGGTCGACTCAGTCCTTCATACACAAAAACGAAATCGCAACCCTCCTCCAGTATCTGAGCTACAGAACTTGGTAGGACTGACATTTTTGGATGATGAAAAAGACTGAAAGGAAGATCATCAAATGAGATCGGATTCATAGAAACTTTGTGTAAGTTCCCCAAAATGTGAATCTATAGAGATAAACGATGAGGCGCCGTACAGAAGAAACGTTCTGATGTGAATTGATAAGTAATAAGCAAGCTAAGTGTTTGGTGCTGAAACACGGATAACTGAAATTTTAAACCCATTGTTTTCCAAATATTGCACTCTGTATCACTCATATAGTCTGAGAGAAAAGCTATCGTATCTGACCACTTTAATGTAAATTTGTAAATTTAATTGATATTGTGAGGACTGTTTCATTGTGACAACGATCCAACAGCCCGATCTTCATCTGTTTTCGGTTTCCAACGAAATGTTTGGAAGTTGACACAAACACTAATCAACACAACGTATGTGTTCAGAAACACTTTGTGTAGACACTATCCCTGTCACGACCGACACCCCAACCCATTCGTATACTTAATTCTACGAATCACATTGTAGTCAAGTGTTTGCGCTGAATAATTTCACCAATTTTTCAAGTTGTTATCTCTACCCAACCTGTGAATCAGTCTTTAGTGGAATGTCAGCGCTTTCAAATTTATTAAGTTTCAAAAAGAGATACTTTTGTAGGGTCTATGGGTATTTAGTCACAACCTGGAACTTTTTCGAAACCTTAACACAAATCGGTTATCAAAGAACTCTGATAGTGAGTAGCTCGTACATGTTTTTTCCTTCGACGCTCTTATTTGAAATAGGCATGTATGAATAATGTTCGAACATCCTACTCACAAATTTACCCTTCGTGTTTTTTGCATAACTGCTTCAGGCACCGAAGAAGAGCAGAAATTAGTGATTGGTGGAGAGGCCGTTATATATAGACGATGTGTGGACAGTTCAAATCTCTTCACGAGCTCATGGTGAGTTGTTCTATCTACCGATCTATAAGATGCACGGAACAACCTCAGCATTCATGTGAATAACTTTTGTGATGAGTGAAGATGTTTTTCAGCTGAGGAAGTAATTTTTTACTGATGGTAGCATATAATCAAGTTTGGCGTGTTTGGAGAATAGACTGGGATTATCATCGATTGATTTATTAGTGGTTGTGACTGTTTCTTATACAGCGACTGTGGCTAAAATGAGCTCATGGGTTGGTATTCAAATGTGACAATATTCAGTCGGTTGTCCGTAGTAATGAAACTCGTCTGGAGTTTCGTTTATAAACATTTACAATCGCAACGTATGAAATAAGGTTAATGCAGTATATGTCTAGCTGCGATTTGATATAAGCTTAGCAAAGTTGAGCCCATCACTGTTGGCATTTTAGGTAGTGCTTAACGTCTTGTCCAACTCATCATGTGAAACATTCTTATCGCATTGACTACTTCGGTCACAGAACACTGACTAATTTCTACACACACTTCTATCCTGCCATACTTTACTCATCAGCTTGAATAAACATGAAACGATAATTTGTAATCACTATAAGTATTCCAGTTAAACTTAACCAAATCAATCATAGTAATATCAGTATTATGAAATATATTGATCGACTGGAATGCATATATCTCCAAATTCAGTTTCGTTCAGTTGCTGCAAAATTGCTCCACTTTAGTGAGGTCTGATTCATTCGATCCACTTGAGATCATGATGATGAAGAGAGTCTCGATGAATCAGACTTGAGGAACGAAGCTGTCGAACTTAATTGATTACATTTAGATTTGAGCAAAGAACATTCGAATATTTTTTGAAAGATACAGGGTGAGATGTTCTAACTACTGTCATGAATGTACATACGCACACTAAGTAACCTAATAGTGGTAACTCATCAGGCAAAGCATAAGGCCTCAATCGTATTTTTGCATTTTCGGAGTTTATCTGTACAGATCCTACACTGGTAAATATGTGAAAGTCTTGACCTTGTTAGAGATCACGTTTCTATGTAAGTTGCACAGGAATACCATGTGGTTAGCTGTGTACTCAATCTGAATAAGATGGAAAGTCAGTCGAGACCCCAAACAATTAAGTGACAACCTCTCTGATGACTGCAGCACTGAGTGACACTGGTTTGAATCTCAGAAGTGTCATGAGTTCGTCTAGGATTTCACATACGCCTTGCTGACTGGTAAAAGACATCAAGCACGAAACCTAGGTACGAGTCTTCCTGACGACTGCCACCGACCATCCAGTATCACTAGGACTGGCTGTTGATAGAGACAGTGTAATTTACCCTTCGTAATATCCATGTCGTGATAGTCAGTTGTTGATCAATCTGAACCTTTCTAAGTGAATTCTTAGCAATTCTGGAATTCAAGTCGAAAATATTTTATCTACGCCACTTACAAAATTGCAAGTACTGCTGCGCCTTAATGGAGATTACTGACACTTTTAAAACACCTTTTTCTCATGTTATTTATTTATGCTCATTAGGCTTGAGGGTGCAGTCATAGCCGATCGCCTATGGTCACATGATCAATCCACCATTGATGAACTGAAACCAAGATTGGCTGAACTACGTTGTCATATGAGAGAGTAAGTTCATACTTTACTGACCTCGTGAAGATATTCTCAAATTCTCTTCACTGTGTAAGCTGTGTTCAGTCATTTTAAAAGATTATTTGATACCATTGAATAGGTAGTAATAATTGTTAGCTCTTTGACAATTTTTCAAATACTGCTAGTAGTGTAGTGAATATTCACAGACTTGACGGAGAAACAAGGTGAAACTGACTCGAATACCATTAAATGTAGGAATTAAATTCCTCCTCAACTGTAAAAAGCGTCCTTCAAGGAGTGTTGAATAGGGCTTTTTGTTAGTTGTGTAGACGAACTCAGCATCTGGAACTTTCATGAAACAACAGATGTTGCTTGAAATCAAAGTTGACTATTAAAGGTGCCAGTGGAAATATTCAGTTTGAGGTATTTAGTTCATGAGTTTCTCTTCAGAAGCTGCGGACTCGAAAGTTACAAATACGCTTATTTCTGTTTGATGAATTCACGGAAATACAGTGCTTTTAGTTGATGTGTAATTGCTAGTAGTTGTCGGCTGTCTACGCTTTCGATCCGAAAATAGGGACTCTGTATTTGTGAACTAGAAGTTACACTTCTATGTAGTCCCTGTGTATGCCCATTCCTGCCTTCATGTACCTGAATAACAATTCAGTATCTGACGTATTTTATCCACTCACACAAAACGCCGTGAATGTTAGTCTTCACCTAACTACAGTTTATCAGAGTGGACATTCAACTTTTAATAGTATGTTAAATATGGTGTGTACTGCGGAATACATAGTCTTACAGTCAACACCCACTTATTTCACTTTCTTTGAGACAGATTTTATAAGCAAACATTTTAAAAAATAATAAAATTTGAGTGTAAATGGAAATCGGTGGACCTGTTGTAAGAGTTCAACTAAAAATTCAAGATAATTACACCGCTGCGACCTTCTCGGAAACAACAATTCACTACACATTTCCCTTTCTTTTGTGTATATAGCTTAGGATTCAAAGTGAAACCGATAAATGAACCGAAGAATTGTCTACAACCATGAGAGTGGGCATTACCACCAACTAGACGCCGATTAGACACTCGTTATTTTTTTATTCAACATTTTAGATTTAATAAAATACAGTTTTAAATTGTCTTCCTTCTGTGTACAACTTAACAGAATGTTCAACTATAACTTATGCTTCTCCTTCCACAGCTATTAAACACCGAAATTATACGTTAAGTGGAAGAGTATAACGTCGACTTCTGTCTGATTTGGAGACAGATTTCCAACATTAGGATCTGAAAGAACAAGAATGCTCGTTATTGCATTGCCGAAAAGTATCAGTATTGATGAATAATTTAGATATTGTGACTCAACACCTACTTAGTAATAATATGAACATCTTTATTCACGACAGTATTTATAAAATATACAGAATTTTCAGAGGAGTCTATTACACGATATTTACCCTTCGTACAGTATCTTCAAGTAAAATGTTAATTAACAGTGTACCCTGTGACATGTTACTCTCTGAGCTGCAGCAAAACCTATTCCATTATGTGATATTTCTGCTTTGTCCCCTTCAGAAATCCACGATATCTAACCGTGGAAACCAATTGTAAGATGTTCAGAAGTAAATTTTGAGATCCAAGAACATAACTTAAGAACAGTTATCTCATGCTACCACCAACAATCATACCTTTCTTCAAGTTTAGTAGGAAAGTGTGAATCAGTTGCCTGTGAACATTTTACATACACATAAGAGTAGATAATACCAATAGATGTCATATCTTAATCGATTAAAACAAACCAAAGGAGAGGAAATATATGCAACAGAAAGATGACCAAGTTGTTGGTTGACCAAGTTTTAAGTAGGCCGCCATTTTACTCTTATTAGGAAGCGAATTCTAGTGAATGTCTTCGTTATGACAATACAATAATAATAATAACAATAATAATCTATTTCTTGAATAGAAACAAGCTACTCTTACAGGCAGGAACGTATGTAAACTGCTTTTAAGTGGAAGGAAATGTGATATGAATTGTTTCCACAGATTTAGACCTTATAGACGTTTAAATAACAGAAATGCTGAACAATGTACAGATAACTAGATAAGGGATTTGTGAAATTCACCTTTAATCAAATAAGTTATGTGATATTGGGTTTAATTAAAATTTCCAGTTTTAAGATACCTATGGCCTGTCAATTTTAGGCGGCAAATACAAAAGATTGCGTTATCAGAAGGTGAGAGGCAGTTTGATTCACAGGTGGTAAAGTGAAATATTGAGGGTGAATTTGGAATCATTATCAGTTAATGAGGCATAAAGTATTCGTAAGTTCATAAAATTCTACAGTCACCGGGATGTACAGCATTATTGCGACAACAGTAGTTATACGAGAGTAGCTTTGAACTAATTGAAAAGGTTTCACGATAGAGGCTGTTCTCATCTATAGTTAGTGTTATAACAATATTTTGAATAAATGCTAAATGTAGGTTTTAGTATTTTCACCAATTGACGCTCATCCATCCTTTAACATTGAAGCGTCTATTTGTAATGCACTGGATAAATGCAAGAACATACTTCGGAAGGTTACATTCGAACTTCATTACAGGGCTCCTGTCAAGCCAAAATTAACGAGTAATCACCATCATCTGACAAAACGAGGGATTACAGATTATCTTTATCCCCAGTGGACTGCATAATTAGCAGATGGAATACCATGAAAATAAAAAATAGAGCACGCACTTGATTCTCATGTGAATCACAACTGATAAGAGACTCATAGAGCCTCTCTGGATTATTCGTCAGGTTTATCTAGAGGTCGAGGGGATGGTGACATGTTTCGCACTCATTTGAGGTTTTATCATTCCATAACACCTAAGTATTCTCCAAGGATAGTGGTTCATCTTCAGTAGATTTTGTGGAAGATCAACTGCCAGTGGGATACTTACACACTGTAGGTCAATTCAACCCAGAGCATGTCATTACCAGCGACCGAAACCAAAGTCGGTGCTGTCGGTTTTGTTCAGTATTGCGGTAAGTTTGTCTAAGTCTACAAGAGACGGGGATTATGTTATTAGAAGTTTGGTATTCAAAATCGGACTGATAAATTCGTTTAAAACTCCTTTCCAAAAGGTCTCGATATGGTTTGCCATTCTGTATTTAACGACGTATTCGCAGGCTGTTCTTATATAAGCATCAGATGGTGGGTCATATTGTATCATTTGTGTTACGTGCTATCCAGTCATTTACACTATCATAAAATTGCCCTCTACCGTATTAGACGTATCGAGACAAATCCATGATTTTTCTCATCCTCCTATGACTTTCACGGGATGAAGACGTCCTGGTGTATTTATTACACTTACAAATTCGTTTACATGTTCTCCTGCATTGATGAGCTCACGAGGTTCTCAGTAGCCACACCATTAACTCATATTACAGTGGAACCAGTTGCTAATTTCGATGTACCTGTAGTTCTAATCACCATCGGAGGAGATCAGTTTGTGTTAGAACTTTCCAACAACTTGTCGAAGCTCCTCAAATCATAAAGAATTCGCTGCTCAAGACATAACTCTGAATCCAACAGCACAATATATTGCTGTCTAAAATATGATGTACTTTCCAATGATTTATACTGATGTTGGGAGCTTAAGTTAAAATGATGTTAGAATAATCATATTACTGGAAAGTAGTATAAATTGTTAGACTGAAATAACGAACAACTCAATTATAAAAATCCATAAATCTACTGTACAACAACCATAGAGTGTCTAAATATCTTATCTGTTGCTTATTATGTATGATTATCGTCTGGATTTTATAGGAGATATATAGCCTTGTTACGCATTCCTATTCAAAAGAGTAACACGAAGGATTTCTTTAGAACGAAGAAAAGCCTTATATTTATGAATGAATATGATAGTTAGCGCAGCCTACAAATCAAATTTTCCCGTTGTTTTGTTTCATAGTTTGTATCTGTATAGCTTAGGAACTCAGTTAAGTTTCCAGTAATCAGCTGATTGAAAGTGACACTGGCAGTTACACGTTTTCAACTCCACCCGCAGTAATTTAGGGTGAGCAGATGCCTTACAAACTACTGTCAGCACAATTCATTAGAAATATCAGTGTGAAACAGTTCTTAAAACATGGGCGTAAACAGACTTTTTTCAACACACCAACTTGAAGGTATAAGCGATTCAATTGGGTAGTCAGGAAGGAGAGCTTCCAATGTTAGACTGTAGGGTAAAAAGGAAAGGAGACGGGAAGATGAGCATTACAGTCTTTACAAGAAAACTAAACATTCAAACAAATATTTGGATTTCTGAACATCTCACTCTATGCCAGTCAAATCAGGAGTGGTGAAATGTTTTGGTAATAGAGCGCAAAAACTAAGTAGGATCAGAGAAAATCTAAGACAGGAGATGAGGCATATAAGAGAAGCTTTGAAGCTTAATAATTAGCCTGATAAATTAACCAGGTAGTATGTAGGGAAATGTAAAAGTAAAATAAATAATGACAGTATTGATAGTGATGATAATAATGATAGTAATAATAATATTAATGACAGCATGCATGTCAAACATGCTCAATATAATGACAACAGCAATAATAAGAAATCTTAATTACCAGCAGTACTTCCATGCAAAGAAGGAAACTTGGAAACCTTACGCAGAATTCTTAACAAGGCGGCAATAAAAGTGCAATTCAAACCCAAAAACCCTATTCAAAACAATTAAAAGTTTCCAGTTAAATGATCCTGTGGAGACTTTAAAACAAAACAATTTAGTTTATCTAATACTCTGCCTGAGATGATTGTCAGGTCAAATACATAGGTCATAGTAGAAGTACTGGTGCAGTCAGACCAGCAGAGCAGTGCGTCGGTGGCACAGTGGTAAGGACTCTCGCCGACCATGCACATGGTCAGGGGTTCGAGCCCACGGCGACGCGCACCTGATACGTATGGTTGGCCTGCGAATTTCGGGCTACCGATATTGATGCTGAAAATTCCACAATTGTACCAAAAATACGGTGTGGAATCAAGCTGTAATCAAAAATAAAATAAATAAAAACCTAGCAAAATCTAGATAAGTTGAATCAAATAAGATAAGAAATCTAGAGAATAGTTCAGTTGTAGCGCTCACTACATACAATTACACACAGCCATACAATAAGATGGGATAGGATGACAGTTTTGAAATCTAATGTAACAGGGTAGAGGGAGGGAGAGATTGATAACAGAAGATTTGTTTATCGAATCAACTGCAAACACGTGCGTAATAGGAATGATTCAACACCTGTTAACCCAGATATCTGGAAAATTCTACTACACCTACGACGACAAATAGGAGAGGACAAAGAAAACTATAAAACTCAAGTTTCGAAGTCGTGTGATTACAATTGATGACATGATTATGAGCAAGAAATTTTGCTCGAAACGTCATCCAGTAAATAATAATACTGTTACTTCATTGTGTGATACATCTAATAAACAAACTAATATGGAATTACGTACTGCCACAGTGCCTATGTTTACACATATATATTAATACTGTCTGCATAAACATGCAGTACAATATTATGACTGTATTGTTTTGAATACTAACAGAGAATAAATGGAGTAACTGATTCATGCATTAATTATTACTCTGGAGTTCACAGTTGTCCTAGAATATGTAACATGGCTCCACACTGGCTATTAATCAGTACTCACAGAATCCTCCAGAACATCAAAGGTTGCGACTGACTATTATGAAGTTAGCTGTAACTAAATTATGATATTTTTAACCTCTCTACCATTAATCATACTTAACAAAGGCAAAGTATAGTGCCCTGAACGGATTTAGCCACATTTGATCTTGAGTTTCTCAACTCCATCAGTGTACGCTTGATAACGTCTTCGCGACTGTAGGACTGGTAAGAATAATCAACATTCAGTTTTACAGTTAAAACTATGATATCTAAGTGACGGCAGTTCAGCATATACATTTGTTTACACAGTTAGTTATTAAGCTACTTTTGTCTTTCATAGAAAGTTCCTGCACTTTCATTGCAAT